ACCACGTACAGATCAAGAGCTTTTTTTGGGTGAAGATGAGGCTCTCACTAACGCGACCGGCTTCGCATCATTGTAAAGGTCAGCTGGTATTCGAATCTCTACCGTTTTTATTATTCGTTAGTGTTCGTGTCTACCTCAAGCGGTGGCTGCCATATGCAGTTGAAGTTATAGCTCAATGATAATTTTGTTTCTGAAATGGTCTCCGTATTTTATATTCGACTAACCAATGTACGAGCAAGATCATCAATTTCGATCAATGGTAAAGTGTCCGCGACATGGTGTTCGGCCGAAATTCACTGCCACACCGTAACGATATGTTAACTCAATGGGAATGCGTCACCATCCGTGATCATACACAAATGTCTCGACGACGATATTATAACAGTGATCACTCGGTATAACGGTCAAACTTTTCCCACCCGTTTAGTGATGTCAATGCACGCCGAGGTTCAGCCAGAATTGAGCCAGAAGTCAGCTCATGCTCGTCCCAGCGCGTGTCATATGGGCTGTCACCTCGCATGTGCTCGCCTAGTTACTTAAAATATAGATTGGGTATAGTGGTCATAGTCGTCTAAGGACAAGTTCACCGTCCAACTAAAAGGAAATTTAGCTAATAAGGTCCAGGTTTGTAATGTAAATTTACTGCACGAGCGAGCTGTCTGTATCGTAGGACTTGTTTTGTGTCATTGACATATCGACTTGAGCGATATCTGGAGGCGCATGAGACTGACTTGTCCATGATCACCAGTCACTAGTACTTACTGATTAATCGTTGTACATAGCCAGAGGGAAACTCGTGTGAACGTAAGGATAGTTTGAGCTCCGACGATCGCTGCCTCGTCGCTGCCAGCGCATAGCCACTTTATCCCCACACACCATCTTCCCGCAGCCCAGCGCGTGACGTCCTTGTCTCGTGAAAGCTTGTCTCATGAGGCTCTCTTCCGAGTGTAGGCGTTGAAAACGGTTCTCATCGGTGTATTTGCCATGGACAGCGACAGCTCTGTTAAATGTCGTGTTGGGCTGCTTGGCAACCTTTACAACATCATGTCACGTTTCCTCTCCATGATACAAAAATAGGGCGACTTTACTGATGGATAGACCCTCTGAACATCCATCACCAGGAGTCTAGAGCCATGATGCAACGGGGCAGATATCTGAGTTGCTTCCCCAGGCAAGTTTGACGCGTGGTTGTGGAGCGCAGCGTGTTATCTACCAGATGGTTCAAGACGCCATCTCTGCTTGATCTGGACTTACCGCTACCTTCCACTGACCTGCCATCCAGTCCCGCTCGGCACACGCACTCACCCGCATTCACAGGCACCCCCCGATTCGCTCGTAGCAGTATGCTATCAGGAACACCGCGCGTCCTCCTCGTCATCCACACTCGAAGTTCATGTGCTCGTCCACCTTCATGCACTGGCAGTGTCAAGCGGTTTTCCCAGCTTGACATGGATGAGTTGGCATAAACTGGTGTATAAAAGGTATCGGTTTTCTGCGGTTGTACTCCATCTTCACCAGCAGAACCACCGCGTCCTTGCTCGCTGACATCCGGTCTTAGCCGTCGTACACCAGTCTTACCGCCATGCAGAAGATCTTCGCTCTCCTTGCCCTTGCCTCCGCGGCCGTTGCCATCCCCACCAGCCGCGAGCGCCACGCTGCTCGCGTCGCTCGTCGCTCGGGCGGCTCGACCAACCTCGCCCAGGACATCCAGCTGAACAACATCACGAACGAGGCCTACACGAGCAACTGGGCTGGTGCTGTCTGGTCCAAGCCTGCTGTATGTCCCTGTCTCTTATTCCTGTCATTTCCGTATCTCTTATTAGCGATGTTTCATATAGGGCACCTACACGTCTGTGACTGGTACCTTCACCGTCCCCACCCCGACTGGTGCCGACGGCTCGTCTACCGCCTGGGTCGGTATCGACGGCTCCTCCTGCAGCAACGCGATCCTCCAGTCCGGCGTTGACTTTGACATTTCGGGTGGCCAAGTATCATACGTTGGTAAGCGCTCCCGGAGTACTCTGGTCTCCCTCACATCCTTAATTCATCGCGTCTTCCAGCCTGGTACGAGTGGTACCCCGCCCCGATGACCGACTTCGACAACTTCGCCGTCAACGCCGGCGACGTCATCACCGTCACCGTCACCGCGACCTCGACCACCGCCGGCACGGCCGTGATGGAAAACACGACCACCGGCCAGAAGATCACGCAGGACCTGACGTCCTCGTCCGCGCTGTGCCAGCAGGATGCCGAGTGGATCCTCGAGGACTTCAGCATCAACGGCGGCCTCGCGCCGTTCGACAACTTCGGCTCGGTGACGTTCACCGGTAACTCGGCGACGACCACGACCGGCACGGACACGCCCAACGGCGCGACGGTTTACGATATCCAGCAGAACGGTGTCACGCTCACTGCTACGACGATCAACGGCAACGATGTCACTGTCACGTACCAGTAAAAAGATGTTTTTATACCTTATCGGTGGTATTTAAGAGGGCTGGGTATGTTGTAGACCATATATTTGGGTTTCGCATTACGGGTGTACAAGTATTTGTTGTTTTACATGTAGAACGCTTGGGGAACATTTGAATCACGACATACATGCCTTTGGAGTCTGTGTGATAGAGTCCTTGAGAAAGATCTGAATGCTATTTCTTTCCCAAACGTTACCGAGTGAAGATGAACGGGCAAGAGAGCGAAGGATGGTGTTCAGAACTTTCATGCACAAGGTGAAAGCCCCTGTGTGGCTGTGCCCACCGTTGCAACCCCTTCTGTCGTCTTGTCCGATGTCTCTCTCTCCCCACATGTCGAACTTTGCCGCGCAATGACCTGCAATGACCTGCTTTCTTGCAAGCCAATGTTTGTAAACCCTGAGTTTGGTAAGCTTGTAAGGTTACTGAATGAGAGGATGTCAATGCTGACTCAGGAATCTGCTCCATGTGTACAGTACTGTCATGGGGCCAGCCAGCATCCCGCCAACGCAATACTTCACATCTGTCGCAGCAGGGCCGCAGAGAGATGTTCGCATGCTCTGTGGAAGTATATACGTATGGACGTGGAGGAATTGGGCAGAAGTGCTGCGATTCATACTAAGAACGACCCGGTGCACTGCGGCAGCGGCAGTTGCAGTTGGACGCTGTTTCTACGACCTTGACGGCAAAATGATTCGATCTTATCTAGACGGGGATGCATATAACAGAACAGAGTACGTGAGGTGAGTGCAGCGAGCTCAGGCGAACCACACCCATCACCGTGCTCATTGCGATTTACATTTATTTTTGGATTCCATCCCTCAAAGAAGACGGGCTTTACTTTCCTTGTCTCCGCATCCAAAATGTCCTCAGCATCACCCCATCCCACCCTTATCGCTTCGGTTCCACTCCATCCCACATCGCACCTCCGCGCGCTCATAGACTGCCCCAGCGCGGAAGCACTCAAGCCCGCGGCGCTCCCGAACTCGGACCCTTCGCGTTCGTTCTGGCTGCACTCGTCGCCCGACGCGAACAGGCTCGCGCACGAGGGGAGCGAAGGCCCGCTGAGCACAGATGAGGCGGACATCATCATCATCGGCTCGGGGCTGACTGGGGTTGGCGTGGCGTACTGGCTTGTTAACGGGCTTGCCGACGCAGCAGATGGGGATGGGAAGGAGCCGTTGAAGGTGGTTGTGCTCGAGGCGAGGGAGTTTTGTGAGTGTCTCCAATGCGTTCCCGATATGTATAGTTGCGAGCGGCGCTGACCGCGTCGGATCGGCGTAGGTGGAGGTGCGACAGGCCGCAACGGCGGGCACCTCATTCCGTTCAAGTTTCTCGCCTTCGAGTCGCGGCAGAAGAAACTCGGTACTGAGGAAGCGGTTGCCTCTCGCGCGCTTGAAGAGTACTCGGCGCGCTCGCTCGTAGACGTGCTCACGCGGAATGGGCGCGGGGATGCGGTGGATCTTGTCAAGAACGGGGCGACTATAGTTCTTGCTACGCAGGCGGAGGTCGATCAGGCGAAGCGCGACTTTGAGGCAGCGAAGGAGGCTGGGGTGGATGTGGGCGGAGTGAGGTGGTTTACGAAGGAGGAGATGGAGAAGGTGCGTTCTGCTTCGTTTCCTTTGCCTCATTGGACTGGAGCTAAAAGATCTTGTACCATATCCTACTACAGGTTTACGGAGTCCCATACGAAGCCCTCCAACTCCCCGCACACAACCTTTGGCCCCAAAAAGCCGTCACAGAGCTTTACGAACTCGCACAAGCCCGCGCGCATTCAGCGTCATCCAGAGTCTCCCTCGCGTTGCACACATACACGCCCGTGACGCAGATCGCGCTCGCTCCTCCAGGAAGCAAGCACCCCAGCGTCGTACACACGCCACGCGGGGCAATATCGGCGACGCGCATAGTACATGCGACGAACGGGTACGCGTCGCACCTTTTGCCGTTCATCATGAACGGGCCCGAGGCGATCTTCGGCGTACGTGCGCAGATCGCGAGCATTCGCGCGAATGTGGGGACAGACGAGGCGTTCAATGGATCGGAGTCGTCGTGGGCTGTTAATGATGTGCGTTGCTGCCTCTTCCCCCGGTTTCGCCGCCGTGCCTGCTGTTAAGTCCCATACTTGACATGCTTGGCACATATGGCACGCACGCGCGCTCGTTCAACCGGTGACCTACTGTACATCCGATCCTGATCCTATAACTCGCCGACAGACTTCCGAATACTGGTTTCCGCGCCCGCATGGTGCCGACCCGGGGGACAAATCGAAAGCGCTCGCGATCGTGGGCGGCGGGCGCGAGTGTGCACTTGGGCCGACTGTCGGCGTGTACGACGACTCGATACTCGACCAGGGCGTGGGGAGGGCGCTGAGAGAGGTGTTACCGGCGCTGTTCCCGGGCAAGTTTGAAGAGGGGCGGGAGCCTGAGATGGAATGGGTGGGTTGTCTTCTGATGTTTTTCTGTGGAGACGTTGCTGAAACCTCTTCGGAATGATGTGTAGAGTGGGATCATGGGATATACGAAGAGGGGCACACCTTATGTTAGTCTTCCCTCCCTGCTTTCTCTGGAGAACGACGGAAACTTACTGTTGTTCCTCGTACAGGTCGGGCCGGTCATCGACCCCTCGGACCCATCCTCGGCGAGCAAATACACAGGACAATACATCTCGGCGGGGTACACAGGGCATGGCATGCCACGCGCGTTCTCTTGGTACGTCTCCCCGCAATTTCTCCTGACTCTTTGAAACAACTGACACTGGCTGATGGGCGTACACCGACAGTGCTGAAGCTACTGCGAGCATGATCCTGTCCGAAATCACTGGCCGAGAGTGGGTGAAGCCGGAGTGGCTGCCGAAGATGTGGTTGACGTCGGAGAGGTTTAAGCCGGGATATGGTGTTGCGTAGACTCCTTCTTTCAGTGTGACATGGTTTCGGACGACAGGACGGTTTTAGCATATTGACGAATCTTCTGCTTCTCGGTGTATGCGAGATTCGTTTTCAAGTGGCCTCGGCCAGTTCGTGGCTGGCAGCCTGAGAGTTGTGTCCCAGGTGGCAGGGACCAGGGCGGAAAAGGATAGGGGCGTACGGGCGCACGCGGAAACGTGGCGCGTGATTCTTCCGTCTGACGCGCGCTTTTCTGAGTGAACTGTCGCGATTGAACTTGGTCCATTAGATGATATAAGTTGAGGCCAGCCTCTTATTCGATTTCCTCTCTCGATCTCATTGACGAAGTTTGGTAGCATTTCGAAACATTGTGTGGCTCATGTTCTGTCGTCATGACAAAGAGCCAAGTCCTCGACAACTTGACAGTTACGACGCGGACAAATTTCTCCGTTGACTTCGCTGGCCCACTCCTTCGACACGTTGCAAGCTGTGCGCTGCTGTCCCCCACCTGACATCAGTCAGCATCGGTCGCAACCGTCGACTGGGCCGCGCGAATCTGCGTGGATCCCCACACGTTTGGAAGATAAGCATTCGATGTCTTATGGCGCGCGCTCGGCTGAAGAGCTGGAAGCAGTAAGAAACAGCGAAGCAGGCTCAGCTTCGTGCTGGACCATGCTTTCCCGAAGCACGTTAGGCCACGCCGCTTTCTTGTCACCGCGTTGGGATGGATGTCATTTCGGGTTTGCCCTCGGTGTCTCCGCCCCCTTGGTGCTTTATCCGGGGAACGTGAGGGAACGTATCCTGAAGACTTCAGAATCAGCGCGCTGCATGTGGAATCACAAGCAGGAAAGTCTTGGTATTTCCTGTACGCGTGTGCTGCACTTCCCCGCCGCGATGGCGAGGACGACTCTTCATGTGGTCGTGCGGATCCGTTCTGCTGTCCTCCTCTTACCACCTGAAATGCTATAAAGGCGATAACCCTCCCGCTTCCTGCGTCCCCCAGGCCAACTCGGCAAGCCGTCTCCCTCGCTGCGCTCCCGACTCGACCCGCCCTCCGTCATGGCTCCCTGGTTATCGCGCGCCCTCGCGGCACTCCCCATCCTCGCCTCGGGCGCCCATGCACTCATCGAGAGCGTCGCCATGCGCGGCGTTCCCCTCATGCCCAAGGTGCCGTTGAAGAACAGCGCTGTGCACAGCCCCAACGGCGACGTGTTTGATCTCAGCACGGTGTACTACTTCGACCAGCAGGTTGACCATAACGACGCGAGCAAGGGCACGTTCCAGCAGCGCTACTGGACGAGCAACCAGTACTACCAGACGGGCGGTCCCGTCGTTCTCATGACGCCAGGCGAGGCTAATGCCGACGGTGAGTCGTCTTTTCCCTAAATCTGCGCTGGACATCCCATCTCACGAGACGCGGTCACACAGGCTACCAGGGCTATCTCGAGGATGGTACCATCACGGGCGTGATCGCACAGCAAAACAACGGCGCGGGTGTCATCATCGAGCACCGCTTCTTCGGTCTCTCGAACCCGATCGACAACCTTAACGACTCTTCGCTTGCTCTCCTCACCATCGACCAAGCCGTCAATGATCTTGTCTACTTCTCCCAGAACGTCGTCCTCCCCTGGACTGGCGGTGACCAGGTCAAGGCTCCCCAGACCCCGTGGATCCTCGTTGGCGGTTCTTACTCTGGTGAGTCTCGCCATCCCTGTGGCGTTGTATGTCTGGCGCATCGCATGGCGAAGCCGGGGGAAACGTCCGGCTGGGAAGAATTCGTGCTGACCGTTGTGACTTGTTCCCCGTTAGGTGCCTTGACTGCATGGACGATGGTCAAGTGAGTTCGACATCCACGCGGCTAGCATTTCCATATCGGGATTGACCCCTAGCTCTTTTCCCTCAGCAAACCTGGTGCTTTCTTCGCTGGCTGGGCATCCTCGGCCGTCGTTGAGGCTATCACGTATGTCATATTACCCTCTTATGTTGAAGGGTAGAGCTCTTACAATGTGCCTTCCGCTTATAGCGACTTCTGGGGCTACTTTGCTCCGATCCAGGAGAACATGCCCGCCAACTGCTCCGCCGACGTCCAGGCCGTGATCTCGTACCTCGACGACGCGCACGACAACAACAATGCAGCCAACCTCGCAAACATCAAGAACGCGTTCAACCTCGGCTCGCTCGCAGATGTCGACTTCGCCTCCTCCCTGATGAGCCCGATCTACTCGTGGCAGGACCTGCAGCCCTCCAGCGGCGCGGGCCAGCCATTCTTCCAGTTCTGCGACGCGCTCGAGGTCAAGGACGGCCAATCCGCTGACGCGAACGGCTGGGGTGTCGACAACGCCATCGCCGCGTGGGGCAAATACTACCAGTCGCAACAGCAGGGTCCGCTCTGCGGTAACGCCTCTGCTGAGGAGTGCTTCGGTACCGCGGACAAGACCCAGCAGTTCTTCACGGACGTTGATGTCGACAACGCCGGCCGCTCGTGGAGCTGGATGGTCTGCAACGAGGTCGGGTGGTACCAGGACGGGCCCCCGTCGGGCCAGCCCGCCATCGTTTCGCGCATGATCAACACGCAGTACAGCGAGGTACGTGAACCTCTACGTGTGTGGATAGTGTGACCAAATCTGACGGTTTGTACACACAGGGTCTCTGCACGAGCATGTTCCCCACCGTCTTCACCTCGGAGCGCGACCCCGCCGTCGACAAGACCGACTCCACTTACCAGGGCTGGAACCTCCAGGTCGACAACCTCTTCTTCGCCACCGGCAAGAGTGCGTATCTTCTCTCCTTTTCCCTCTCCATCCACTTGTTGATCCGTATTCTAACCGTCTTCATGTCAGGCGACCCCTGGCGTGAGGCTACCGTGAGCGCATCCACCTCGCCCGCCAAGACCTCTGACAACATGCCCATCGCCGAGGGCGACGGCTTCCACTGCTCCGACCTCACCATGGACTCGGGTTCTGTTGACCAGACGATCAACGCGGTGCAGACGCAGGGTCTCGCCGCCATCAAGGCATGGCTCGCGGCCAAGTAAGCGTTGGGCGTACGAGTTAAGATGATAGACATCCAAAACGATTTTAGATAGGACGTTAACGTTATTTAACGATATGTATATATTGGATGGGCTGTCCTTCGTGGACATTGTGGAATACTTGCTACACTTAACCCGGGGTTTATGCTGGTTTATGACTGATTCCCGTAGCGAGGTCATTTTCTGTGTGACTTTGAGCAAACTTTGATAGAGCTACGGGAAATGCCGGGGAGGCGACAGAATTGCCAGAGACGGTTAACCTGGGTCTCAGGCTTTGATCTGTGCGCTCGAGCTCCTCTACTGGGTACTGACTCCAGCTTCTTTAAGAAAAAGGTGCGCGACTTCGAGTCGAGTCTCTTGATGGGTCGGTATGCCTCTAAAACCATCGGGTGCCCAGGCTGACCAGCGAGTGTCACTTCAGACCTTGATAAAGCGGCCGGCGGCGAGCACGCTGTGCAGCTGGACTTGACGCTCGCAGCGACAATGAACGATGTGCATCCCCAATTGTTTCCGACCGTGGCCACCATGTAGAGGCCTACCTCCATCGCGAGCAGACATTGACCCCGCTCTCCTCTCGTGCCCTCTCGTGCCTGTACGCACTGTCTCGTACCTCCCTTAACGCTCGCGGAGTACAGCGACGGACTTAGCAGCTGTTGTTAGCTGTGATACTTTCCAAAGAGGGACTAGATCTTCGCAGGAAGAAGCTTTATATAGATTATGCGGTATGCCCACATTCCGTTATCTCCTTGCCTCTATGTGTCTCATGAGAATCGCCCATATGCACACGAACGAATCAACACCGCTTCATGTGGACACTCGCCGGCGCCATTCTCATGGACTGTAACAATACCGGCCTATAAAGGCTTCTTACTCACCTTGTCCTTAGGCAGACCACTTTGTCGTGCCCGTCGTCTCCGCTCGCTGTTTGCGGTCACCACGATGGTCTACTCGAGGAGTACACGTCTCTTCGCAACGCTCTCGCTCCTCGGCATCGCCAATGCAGCCATTCAGAATGCGATCCTCCGAGGAAAGCCGTTGCTACCTCAGGCCCCAATACCGGACCGAGAGATCAATGGGCCTAATGGAGCGACGGTCAACATCAGCACGGTGTACTACTTTGACCAGTTGATTGACCACAGCAACCCGAGCCTTGGTACTTTCCAACAGCGCTACTGGACGTCCAACGAGTATTATCAAACTGGTACGTGACCCTCTGTGTTACTAAAGGATGTCGGTTAGAGAACGCTCCTCACAGGTGGACCGGTCATCTTGATGACACCTGGAGAGACTGACGCTGATGGTAGGTGGAAGCTTAGTGATTTCTCTGCGATTCGCCCGTTCTCATAGGCTACAGGTTACGAGGGTTACCTCACGAATGGCACCATCAACGGCCAGATCGCGCAACAGGAGAACGGAGCTACAGTACTCGTGGAACATCGGTTCTTTGGCTATTCGAACCCATACGACAACCTCACGTCCCAGAGCCTCGAGCTCTTGACGATTGAGCAGGCTGCGCAAGACTTGGCCTACTTTGCACAGAATGTGGATTTGCCCTGGGAGGGTGGTGACTCAGTCAAGCCTGATACCACGCCGTGGATCTTGGTTGGTGGAAGCTACTCGGGTAAGTAGCTGGCTCGTTATTGTCTATTTCGAGATTCTCAATGGGTCTTAAGGTGCCCTTACGAGCTGGACGATGGTCAGGTAAGCACTTACTTCACCAAGTTGGATTGAAAACTGATACTGATTCCTCACGCCAGCCAACCCGGCGTCTTCTACGCCGGCTATGCCTCCTCTGGTGTGGTCGAAGCCATAACGTGCGTCTCAAAATTTCCTGTGTTCGCGGAAAATCCGTCTTCATAACCTACCCATAGCGACTACTACGGATACTTCACGCCTATTCGCGAGTACATGCCTCAGAACTGCTCATCCGATGTCGAGGCCGTGATCACGTACCTCGATGGTCTGTATGATGCCAACAACCAGACCGGAATCCAATCTCTTAAAGAGACTTTCGGTCTCGGTGCCTTGACCCACACGGACGACTTTGCTGCAGCTCGTGCGTGCTCCACTGCATTTGATGTTTCTCGTTGGTGCTTACTCCTCGCGGCGCGTCCATTAGTCCAGGACAACCTATTTGATTGGCAGAGCCTTCAGCCCGATTCGGGTCCCGATCAAATGTTCTTCCAATTCTGTGATGCATTGGAGGTCAAGGATGGTGTCAGCGCTGGTGCAACTGGCTGGGGTCTTGACAATGCGATCGAGGCTTGGGGATCATTCTGGAACACGACGTATTACTCGTATGGTGAGCGCAGTCGACATTGGCAGACATGCGGACGATTAACGCTTCCTGCAGTTTGTGGAGACACAGATGCTGAGTGAGATCTCCAGCATCACGAGCGTGCCAGTAACAGTGTACTTAACCTTCGCACTTCAGGACGTGCTTGGGCACCTACGACACTACAGAGTCGTTTTGGACTGACACTTCTATCAACAACGCTGATCGGTCGTGGATGTGGTTTGTGTATGTCGCTTTCCTCTCTGCTATATCCAAATCCCATCGTTAATGTGGAGCTGTAGGTGTAACCAAGTCGGATACTACCAGGTCGGCCCTCCTGAAGGCCAACCTGCAATCGTTAGCCGCATCCTTCAGCCTGTCTACGAGGAGGTATGGCAAACTGCACAGGGTTTATTGGCTTAAACACGTTTTGACGGTTCATCACACTCTCCAGCGTCAGTGCGTCAACTTCTTCCCGCAGAAGTTCTCGACGCCACCTACCCCAGCCGTCGACGCGACTAACGCCGAGTACGACGGATGGAACGTCAACATCGACAGACTGTTCTTCGCCAACGGCCTGCGTGCGTATCTCTCCCTAAAACCTCCCGCTGCCTACGCATGAGTTCGTTACTGACTGCCTTGGGATTAGGCGACCCCTGGCGCGAAGCCACCGTCTCCGCCGACGGGCTCAACAAGGCAAACACGACCACGCAGCCGATCTACGAGGGAGACGGGTTCCATTGCTCAGACCTCCTGACAGATAACGGTGTCGTGGACTCTACCGTTCTAGCTGTCCAGCAGGCAGGTTTGGCATACATGAAGGAGTGGTTGGCGGCGTACGGCTCTCAATGAGGACACTTTGCTTGATATTTACCATGTCAGTTGTATTGGGTGTAGATTATGAGGTCAAACATCTGGGTCATGTTTAAGCAGCAACGAGACTATCAGTATTATCAGAAACCTCCAGAGCTACTAGTTCTGAAGGTACACGACGGGAATCGCGATAACTCATAAATTGCAAGTAAAGTCAAAGTAAAGTCAACTGTGGGTAAAAGCTCGGGTAAAAGTGACGGAGATATCGCGCCGTGTAGGGAAATGCCGCCGGGCGCAGAGCGTCCCTCATCACATCGAATCCCTTCTGCTTCGGAACTACGACCTCTATCCGTCATTGCGGAGAACCGTCTCTACCTCCATTTCACTTTCCCGAGTCATTATGCGCTTTATGGGGCTTGAGTAGTGAGTAAATATACCACAGGCATAGCTCATGCGACACTGACTGCGCCAGATTTGTGCATAGGCGAGCAAAAGCCGTCACGTTCTCATGAGGTGTCTCAGCACCGTATTTTAGAAGCATACGTTGTGCTAGCGGTGATTTTTGGTAGGCCAGGTCATGACAAATCTCCGCCATCAGGAACGTCTGGTTCGAGAGTACCGCAAACCTATAAAGACATGTTCATTTGTGCTTGCTGTGCTGACGGTTTGTCGTGCCCACCATCCTTGTTCGCTGTTAATGGCCGCCAGGATGGCGTACTACGGGAGGATACGTCTCTTCACGATGCTCTCGCTTCTTGGTATCGCAAACGCCGCCATTCAGAATACGTTGTTCCAAAGGAGGCCGCTAGTGCCTCAGGCGCCGATCCCGTACCAAGAAACCTATGGTCCGAACGGTGTGACGGTCAACATCAGCACGGTGTACTACTTTGACCAGCTCATCGACCATAGCAACCCGAGCCTTGGTACTTTCCAACAGCGGTACTGGACTTCAAATGAGTTCTACCAGACTGGTGTGTGCCCCGAGTCCTTCAACATGTCTTTGGATTCTGGTCTAACCAAGCTGTGTCCCGTAGGCGGACCAGTTATCTTGATGACTCCCGGAGAAGTCAATGCTGACGGTAAGCGAAGTCGCCATATGGCCTTGCTGCATCCTCACTCGCAGTAGGCTACCAGAGCTATCTGACAAACGAAACTGTGAACGGCATGATCGCACAACAGCAGAACGGCGCCACAGTCGTTGTAGAGCACCGCTTCTTCGGCTTCTCAAACCCATACGACAATCTCACCTCGCAAAGTCTGGAGGTCCACACCGTCGAGCAGGCTGTGCAGGACCTGGTCTACTTCGCGCAGAACGTTGATCTGCCCTGGCAAGGTGGTGACTCGGTTAAGCCGGACAAAACGCCGTGGGTCTTGGTTGGCGGAAGTTACTCGGGTACGTAGTCGTGTTAAATGGGTGTGTTGCATATGCTCAGTGGCGTATAGGTGCATTGACGAGTTGGACAATGGTCAGGTAAGCACTTGGATTATCACTCTTGGTTTGTGAAGCTGCTTGAAACCTTTTCTTTAGCCAGCCTGGTGTCTTTTATGCAGGATATGCCTCTTCCGGTGTGGTGGAAGCAATTACGTACGTTGTCTTCAATCATTACAGAGTGCCGTGTTCATAACTTCTTCATAGCGACTACTACGGTTACTATACGCCTATCCGGGAATATATGCCCCAGAACTGCTCAGCTGATGTTGAAGCGGTAATCTCATTTCTCGACGGTCTATATGGTTCCAACAACCAGACAGGCATTCAAGCCCTCAAGGAGGCCTTTGGAGTACTCGGCGCCTTGGCTCACACCGATGACTTTGCCGCAGCTCGTACGTATCTCGCTAATTATCCTGTCTTCAACATTGAGCTGATTGCTCTCGATAGTACAAGGCAATCTCTTCAACTGGGTGGATCTTCAGCCTTATTCGGGTGGCGGTCAACTGTTCTTCGAGTTTTGCGATGCCTTGGAAGTCAAGGATGGTATCAGCGCTGGCACATCTGGATGGGGTCTCGACCATGCGATTGAGGCTTGGGGCAATTACTGGAACACCACTTATTACTCATACGGTGCGCATTGTTAGAGATATCGTCTCTCGTTGCTGGTGATTGATCGACATTGCAGTCTGCGGGACTGCCGATGCTGAGTGAGTGCCTCAAGTACCGTGACATTGCCACGCTACAGTGCTAAACATGGCCTACCAGGACGTGTTTGGGCACATACGACACCAGCCAGTCAATTTGGACTGACATATCTGTCAACAATGCCGACTGATCATGGATGTGGGTCAAGTATGACCCCCTTTTTTATTTTACCGCCAGCACGTTGTTTACTTGAGATCCGTAGATGCAACGAGGTTGGATATTACTACCAAAACGGCCCTCCCGAAGGCCAACCCGCTATCGTCAGTAGAATCCTCCAACCCGTTTACCAAGAGGTATACCACACCGCCTAATCTTTAGAACACTAGTCGCCCGTCTCACTATCAACTCTTTCAGCGTTTATGCGTCAACTACTTTCCAGATAAATTCTCGACGCCCCTTACACCTGCTGCCAACGCGATCAATGCCAAGTATGGCGGGTGGAACGTCAATGTCGATAGACTCTTCTTCGCCAATGCCCTGCGTTCGTGCTTCACTTTAATAGACCTCCCCACAGCTCCCCACGCTTGATTCCAGTTTCTGACGTTGCGTGCAATCGAAACAGGTGACCCATGGCGCGAAGCAACTGTCTCCGCTGACGGGCTTAACAAGGAAAACACGACGACACAGCCGATCTACGAAAGCGATGGGTTCCATTGCTCAGATCTTCTCATATACAACGGTGTCATCGATGCCACTATCCTCACTGTCCAGGAGGCAGGTTTGGCGTACATGAAAGAGTGGTTGGAAGCGTACGGATCTTAGAAGACATGTTATTTGCGTCGATTTTTACAAAGGATAATTGCATTTGATTGGAATATTGGGCTCGATACAGATGTCAGACGACTACGTGTACAATCGACGCGATGGAAAAACAAATATGTGGGTTGCGAGAGACACATTTGTCAGCTTTGTCATGCTGCCCGTCATTTTCGCCTCGGAAATCGCTCCGACTCAATGCATTCACCAGCACTGTGAGTTTTTGCGGAGTCCAGATTAGTCCAGGCGGGATTAACAGTGAGCTGAGTGGCTTACCCATCTGCGACGTTCAAGAACCGATAATGTTCGTACTGCCAAATGACAGTTCGATACCTATATCCTCCAATAAATCCATTGCACGGATGCGTCCCACGAATCACGGCTGTCCTCAAATGTCATCCTCCGCAGTGCATAGCCAAGGGTATGCCTTTGCGCAATACACTGCAGGAATTCTGTAAGATCGGGCGTAGAATGATTGTGCACGCCGATGAAATCCAGTGCCGATGAGTCATAAGTCAATTTGGTTAACGTGATGCTCTGGAGCGCGGGTGCAGGAGAGGGCGTGTTTCCACAAGGTGCGCATGTAAGGAGATCTGTCAGAGAGCGAAAGTCGCTCGGGTATATGACGATGTGTCTAAGAGATGAAGCTCGCTCGAGCGAAGTTCTTAGATTAAGGCCGTGGAGGTTAGGTACGATGATTGTGAGATGACTTGGTATGTGAATGGGAAGTGCGTTGAAGAGGGACTGGAGAATGTTATTGATGTTCGAAAAACAAAGGTCAATTTCGAAGATAAATTCCGGTCCTGGGTCTGGTGAGGCACGAGCATGGACCTCATAGATGTAACGACTGTCGTTGCGAATGGTAATCTCCAGCCAGCTAGCTGTTTCGGGACTGGGTATGTCCCAAGCAGCTAAGAACGGCATTACGTCCCTGTCTGGCCTGGCACATGGGTCATCTTTGATGTGAAGGCGAGTGAGCGGTCTCGAGAGCTCCAAGTGCCGGAAAAAACCATCGCAGATATGAGTGACAGTAACAAGCTCAAGGCATCTGAGGTTTGGAAGAGCCACGGCTCGAACTGAACTCCCATGTGTACGATAGATGCATTCGTAAAGGACGAGGTCTTCTAGCGCGGGAGTTGATCTCAAAAGGGACAACACGTCGTCCTGGCTTGCACTTCTGTAATACGGAAGGGGATAGATATGAAGGGTTGTGAGCCGATGAAGAAGGGACGATGGTGATCGCCATTGCAGTGCGTAGCCATGGATGCGGAGGACTCTTAACTGAGGCGCTTCTCCTGCAGTGAATACCTCCGTAGAAAGCGTGGAAGAAAAGTCCCTGGAGAAACGCGCGGTTGGTGCGGTACTAATGGCCACTGATTGAAGGAGCGGAAGATGAAGTGGCTGAGATAAGAACGGTGATACTTTGTCTTCCCAGCCGCCAATGACAATGTCTTTCGCTCGAGCTATGCCGCTATTCTCTATGTATTCACGGATATTCTCGATATTGTTAAGCATAACATTGACTTGCACCGGATTTGTTCCTGCGCGATCGAGGAACGCTTTCTTCCATTCGGTCGAAAAAGATGGGATTTGATTCCAGAGAGTTGCATACGATAGAGCGGTGAATCGCCATTGTCGACAAACATGAGTCACGACTATCCAAGAGAGACAGAATCTGGTGCAGAAGTCGTCATCTGGTTGATGAATAGAGTTCCGTTAATCCTACGGGCTTTTTACCATTGTCGAGCGACCTACATTCACTTTCAGGATGGGATGATCAGATCGATCAGGAGCTGGTATGGAGGTGGAACGATTCAAGTTGAACGTTGAGTTCCAGTTGAAATACCGACCGGGGACTGCCGAGAGGAAGCACCTGAGTCACCACCTCGCGAGCGGCGGTTGGTCCTTGGAAGCTTGGCCTTTGGGTCGGCCCATTACTCGGACCTTCTTACATACAACGATGTCATTCCTGCCACTATATTTGCTGGAAAGGAGGTTGGCTTGACGTACATGACAGAGTGGTTGGCAACGTACAAGTCTTAAAAACATGTATCTACATTGATAGTTACGGTACAGTTGCATTTGATGTAGAATATTCAATAGGTTACATATCATGTTCAGCTAGCTATCTGTCGGATAAGCGCGAGGCATTCGTAAGTTGCAGAGACGTTAGTCAGGAAACATTTAAGGAAGAGCTGTGCTTCCAAACGATAGGTCAACGCCTATATCCTCCAGAAAACTCCACTGCACGGATGCAGGCCACGAATCCCGGCTGTTCTCAAACGTCATCCTGTGCAATGCGTAGCCAAGGGTATGCCTTTGCGCAATACAATGCAAGAATTCTCCAAGACCGCGCCAGCAACGATTGATCTCTGTATACGGATTTAGTTCAAGAATTTCAGCTGCGTTACTGAAGTCTGCGAAAATGATGGTCTCGAGCGCTGGCGCAGGAGATAACTTGTTGCCTCTAGGTGAGCATGCAAGAGTATCTGTCAAATGGAGGAAGTCATTCGGGTATACGACGAGGTACCGCAGTGATGGGGCGTGCTCGAGGGCGGCGCGCAAGTCGAGGTAACAGAGGTCAGGAGCCAGTAGCGTCAGTTTCGTTAGGAGGCGGATGGGAAGGTCGAAGAGGCTTTGAGATGCGGCTGCCCGGCCATATAGGTTACATTTGAGCCGAACTTCTCGTTCTTCACAGATTTCCGTTGGTGATACATGAATGTAGACCTCTGTCTGGAGGCAACTGTAGGTTTGAATACAAATCTCCATCGAGCCAATTCTATCGGGATAGGGTATATCCCAGGCAGCTAAGAAGGGCATGGCATTCCTGCATGTGTGATCGCATACGAGTTCTTCTAAGCGTAGCCGAGTCAATGGACGAATTAGCTTTAAGCAGTGAAAGAAACCAGCGAAGACGTTCGTCGGAGCTGAGACTTCAAGGCTTCTGAGACTCGGGAGAGCTACACTATTCTGATCTGGGAGTAGATAGATGGGATAGGAATACTCGCGGAAGACAAGGTCTTGTAGCTCGGGGGTATACCTCAGGATGCGCAATAGTTCCTGCTGACTGGCTTGTGGAGAAACGGGTAGGGAATGAACATGCAAGATCGTGATCCGGCGAAGCAGAGAATACGAGAAGTTCTGTTGGAGGATGCAATTTTGGAGACGAAGAACATGCAGCTGTGCTGCTTCGCCACCATCAAACACCTTGGTGAGAGCGTGGGAGAGTGAGAGGTCGGATTCTGAAGTCCTGTGTCCGATGATGCTCAGCGACTGAAGGTGAGGAAGTGGCGGTAGCTGCTCCCACAATAGCGGAAATATATTGCCTTCCTCGATTGTGATGGTGAGTTCCCGTGTCTGTGTGATGAGCTTCTCGATAGATCTTGTTTGCAGTGCAGGAGACCGTCGAGTTTTGAATGGATTCCGCCACCGAAACCGACGGGGCTGGATGTGATCCTCAAGGTAACGCGGCGCGAAAAGGCTAATTTCGCTAACTTGTAGTGGACGAGAAGCTGCGCGATCGAGGAATACAGCACTCCATTTCTTGGAGAATGTTGGGATCCGAGTCCATAATGACGTGTCCAATAAAGCGGCAAATCGCCAATGACGACAAGTGTGAGTTACCGCAATCCAGGAGAGGCATGGTTTGTTGCAGAAGTGGAAAGGATGCCTGTCGCTGGGCGGAAGAGTGTGAACTTGATCGACACACTCCTCAAATATGATGGCTAGGATTTCTGGAGGACAAATGGAAGCTGGCGAGGGACGACATCCTTCGTCCTGTTTCATTGGTCTATTTGAGGAGACTCAATAATAAGCAAGGTATCAAGGATCGATGACTTGAGTGCTATACTCACTGTCTTGGAGTGAGACGAGTAGGTGGTGCGACACGAGAGAGAGGTTCAGGTTCAAGGCGCGTTGAAGAGGTGGGCAGAAGGTGCACTGGAAGCGCTGTTTTTGGAAGCCCCTGAGTCACCAACGCGCATGTGGAGCGACAGCTTGTTCTCATCCATCCTCACCGGCACCTCAGCCTCGTGGTGTGCTCTAGTCATGGGGATCCTGAGCAACATTTATGGCACGCGAAATGAATGTAAGAGGCATCTAATCCGCTTATCTTCACCCAGGAGCTGAACACGTCTTATCACTCCAACACACGCCAGCGCCAGCCATGTCTGCCGATTTCCCCGTACCGCTGTTGCAGTATGCAGCGCATCAGAAGGTCCTAGAGACTCCTAGGGAATGTCAACCCGCCAACCTTCCTCACCCACATCCGACCCATTCATTCTGGCTACATTCCGAGCCAGGCGTAAACCCGCTTGCAAAGGAGGGTAGCGAGGGTGCGCTTGCGACTGAAGCGGATGTGTGTATCATTGGCTCGGGATTGACTGGTGTCGGCATTGCATACTGGCTCTCTCAATCTGTCAAGAACGGAGACTTGACGGCGAAAGGGGATGGGCCGCTGAAGGTGGTTGTTCTAGATGCGAGGGATTTCTGTGAGTGCTACGATTGAGTGGTGTAAGATGGCTGAACCTAAGCGTGCTTTTACTAAAGGTGCAGGAGCGACGGGTATGCCCGCGTTAAAGTACGTTCCGCTACACTCGATACTTATGTTACAACCGATTTAGGACGCAACGGTGGCCACCTCACTCCGTGTTCCTACCTCGACTTCACAGCGCGCCAGAAGACCTACGGGACCGAAGAAGCACTCCGCTCGGCAGCCCTTGAAATGCACACGGCCCGCTCTCTCGTCGACGTTCTCACTAACAACGGACGCGCTGCCGACGTGGATCTCGTACAGAACGGCCACGGAGAGCTTATCTTCCCACAGGAGCAGCTCGAAGAGGAGAAGCGAGACTACCAGGCAGCGAAGGAGGCCGGGATGGATGTGAGCGACGCGAAGTGGTATACGAGGGAGGAAGTGGAGCAGGTGCGTTCATTTGCAGAGACACCTCTCGAGCTCATAAGTTAATTGTTCAAATGTCTAGCAATTCGGCTCCTCAGCCAGAGCAGCAGTGATCTTCACCGGATGGAACATCTGGCCCATGAAGGCCGTCACGCAACTCTACCTTTTTGCAAAGGAGGTTGCAGACTCAAAGCCTGATGCCTTCTCGCTCGCACTCCACACGAATACGCCTGTTACCTCCGTCGACGCTGCGTCACCCGCTGCTGGAGGTGGGCGCCCATGGACTATCACGACGCCAAGAGGCACGATCGCATGCACACGTGTCGTCCATGCTACAAACGGTTATGCCTCGCACCTCCTGCCATTCATGAAAGGCTCTGAAGGGATCATGCCCGTTCGTGGACAGGTCGCTGCTATTCGCGCAACCGTGGGCCAGGACAAGGTTGAGAAGAATGGGTGGAGTTTCAACGAGGTGCGCCGCTGCACCCCCAACTACCGCAGCGACCAATCGCTGACTGATAGTATCTTGCATATCACTAGGGCCTCGAATACTGGTTCCCCCGTCCTCTTCCACTGGACTCCAAGGAGAACCCGCTGATTATCCTTGGCGGCGGGAGAGAGATCAAGCCCAATTTTGAGGTGTACGTCGACGATGACTCAGTCATCAACCCGGAGATCACACCTGTGCTCCAAAAGTTTTTGCCTTCGGTGTTCTCGGACAAGTTTGACCCGGAGAGGAAGGCGGAAATGGAATGGGTAAGCAGTCGGGTTTGTCTTTCGTCTTCGAAGCGGAGCTGACTGGAGAGTATCAGACGGGGATCATGGGGTACACGAAGATGGGTGACCCGTTTGTAAGTCGCGCTCTCATTTCCTAAGACGAACGAAGAGAGATGACACGGGTTTGCAGGTTGGACCGGTTATCGACCCGTCAGACCCCGGATCCGCGGAGAAATACAAGGGTCAGTATATATCGGCGGGATACACGGGACACGGTATGCCTCGCACATTCGGATGGTGCGTCCCATATTATCCGCCCTTGGCCATCGTGTGTTAATGGTCAATGATTCAGCGCTGAGGTCATCGCTGGTATGATAGCCGCCGAGGTCAATGGGGCTCGCTGGGAGCGTCCTGATTGGTTACCGGAGCGGTATCTCACTTGGAAGAGGTACGGTGTCGCTAGAGCATAGGCACAGCCTTTGGATATATCGGTATGTAAGCTTAGAGCAGTGTACGTGGAACTGTAAAATTGCACAGATCTTTGGATTCTCGTAGTCTCGATGAAGAGCTATGTTGATCGTTCCTTGTGATCGTTGGCTGATGCTTTGTTCCGATATCTCTTCATTATCTTGGCTGTATACTAATATTCTAGGCGGCCGAGTCCTGATTACGGCAGGTTTATCCTTATCATATCTAATCCTTCACGCCCTTGGCTCTAGAGATACAAACACAGCAATTTTTACCAGACGTAAGGAAGACAAGTCCGCATTCAGGCATCAGGTTTAAGGCGGATCAGACCCAAGTCGTTATCTTACACAGTGCCTGCAACGATCAACTGAGGCTGCATCGACGTGGCTGCATCATGCAGAGCTCTACAGCAATTCGCAAACTTAAAAATTGGCCGAGCCTATTGCGAGCCTATATAAGGTTACAAAGGCTCCGTCCAACTTTCCTGTGCGCTCGGGTCCCTTTCCCTTTTAACTACCACCAATCGCCGAGTCGGTCCGAAAGAGCCAAGCTTGTCGTACATCAAACAGCCATCTGTTACGTTTTAAGTAAGGCATACCTATCAGGCATAACTTACTGCTGATCGCACTGCTGATCGCACCAAAGACCATGCATCGCGCACTCGAAATCACCGAAATACTGGAGCTCATAGTCAACAACGTTCAAACCACAAAGGCTCTGATGAATCTGGCACAGACATCAAAGTCGTTCAAGGAGCCCGCCATCAATGGTATTTACTCGAGCCTTGCATTTTGGTTTGAAATCATCAAGTGCCTACCCCATGACTTGAGGAAGTTCCAACAGGATAAACAGCCAAAAGGTGCGTTTCGCGGTAATAGGCAACCTCAGTTTACAATAGTACGTGATCTGCGATATATTATCGCAAAATATCGCTCACCGACTTTTAGTCTCTTAAACGAAAGATGAAAGAATGTGATTGGGACTTGCTCAGGAGCCATGCTGCCAAAGTTCGGGCGATCGGGTTTCGCGAACCTGAACAACACCGGTACCATCGTCAAAGCCTTGAGCTTGAAGGGTGGGACTCGTACACGTCCCACCCACCGTCTTCAGTAGCGGCAACAACATACAGACTAGACCATTCCGTCATTGACGCGCTTCTTGAAGCTGCTCGCGTAACTCCATCATTGTTGTTCCCGAATCTACAGAGACTTAGCCTTGGCCACGGATGTCCAGCCCCAATCCTGCTCATGTTTCTTGCTCCCGGTCTTCGCCAACTCCGCGTGTCCATCAAAGCCCTTCCGGAATACTCCTCTCTCCCTACGCCCGTCACTGCTCTTTGTCCCCTCGTTCAAACATTTTCATGTAGCGGTTACCCGAGGAACGGAGTCGCAAGCGGCCCGTGCCGCTTCGTGATCGGTTGGAAACATCTACACTCCATTAACGGCGCAACACCCATTGAGATTTATCTGTGGAACCATCTGCTTTCCCTACCAAGCCTTCACTCGTTGGAGCTGCAGAACCTTCCCCCTTCTTTCCCCCCTCCAACTCAGAGCCGCAGCAACCTTCGCAGGATCGATAACCTAATTCTTACAAACGAGAGGTTCAAGGACACTGTGACTGCGCTGGAGACGTTGCTACGCGGCGATACCCTAGGGCTTGGAGCAAAAACTATTGTACAGTGCTTAACAATTAATTTGGAGCTGCAGTTTTTCAGGTTGGATAGATCCCTCCCAATCGATCTCACAAGTGCCTTGCCCCGGGTCCTTTCTACTGAATCGCTGAGGGAATTGCACAGCACCACAAGAGAACATGGCCCGCGGACTCGCCGTGGACATTTCATTGTATTTAATACCGATGACAACGATGCGCCTTCCGTTTATGATACTCTTCTGCCCTTTACCACGTTCGTCAACCTGACTGTTGTCAACCTAATCGATCGCATGGGCCCCAGCGTTTGCAACTTCTCCGAGCTTATTAGTCTCGTCTCGCATTGGCCATCCTTGGAGGTCCTCCGTATGCCACTTATCGCGCGCTGCGCCTCATTGCTCGACCTACACACTCTAGGGCAAACATGCCGCAAACTTCGCATAGTGCGAGTGCCAGTGACGACAAACATGGAGGATATACAAAACATGGCATCAAAGGTCGGCGACCTCGACGCGATGGAGAGGGTAACGTGCCTTGCTTTGCATGCACCTGAGCAAATGGGGTACGAGAAGGAGCAGGAGGACGCGATCGCGAGAGCTGTAGTTGTCATGCGTCGGCTCGCACCACGTCTCAGACACACGAACACTCCGTATGGACCTAATATGGCGTTCTGGAAGTCAGTCGTGACGCACATGAGGACAGAGGAGTCGGCGCAGGAAGGCGAGAGCGCGTATGATTGCCATTAGCCTACTTTTTATTTTTTTTTTTTTTATTTTAGCTCTGTATTACTACGAAATGCTGCTTATGGCATGTGTATGTGAAAAGTTGAATATAAAAAGGGCGCCATACATTCTCCGGCCCTTTGGTCACATCATGAGCTCTAGCACCTAAAGGCACTTCACTCGATTCCTTGACGTTACATCGAAAATCTGAATATCAGTCCTGCATTTATATAGATCGGGCGACGGTATAGACATACGAAACTGCCTTCTCTGGATCGTACTTCTTACGGATTCACCAAATGTAAGGGATCATCCTACAGCTAACCTTCTTCGCGTATGCCTCCCAATTATTTCCAAAATGTTCACTCAACATATCATCCTCTTTCTGCGCCCTCACCACTGTCGTGAAAACAGCATACGCGACGAAGAAGACCCACACGCCAGCCATTGTCTTTCCTTGCCACACATTGAGCCAACCACTAGAGAGCAGCCACGATCCTGAGTTGGCGATCACCAGCGACATGCCAAAAAATGCAATGATTCCGGTTGTGTATGAAGGATGGCGCACGACGGAGTAAGGTCCGTGAGTAATCAGTTCATGTTTCCGCCTGAGGGACATTTCGAATGTGAAGTGCCGACCGAGGGTTCTGAAACATTCAACTCGGAGGTGACCGAATAACGTGGCAATGACGGCGCCTAAGAGAAACTGGCTGGTGAGATGGAGATTGGGGTATTTGCCGTTCTGCGAGAGGACCGAGAGAAGATAGGTGGACATAGTGGAAGGGTAAGTTAGAGCGAGTATGGCGGTTAACTCTGCAAAGCATGAAATAGTCGCAATTGCCTGGGAACATTGGTGAGCCTTAATCCTCAGAGGAGTCATAGACACTAACCCGCACGGTCCAGGGGAAGACCTTCGGTGCATAGCTATCGTGCCATGTTGTCTTGACTCGCTCTTCTTTCTGGGGGGTCTCAGGCGAGATTAGTATCCTATTGAAGTAATATAGTGATGCTAGAAGAAAGGGCACTTTGACAAGTGGGAGCGTCATTGTAACAGTCTTTCGCGCAGGAAAGGAAGCGACCGTTTGCGAAGGTCACACACAGGAGAGATGACAGTGGTTTCTGCGCCAACTGGACTCGCTTTATATATGTTCTAATCTCAGTTATCCGGCGAACGGTAGCAGGTATAACCTGTACCTTATGGGTCAGAACGTTCCCTATCACAGAGTTTTAGCACAGGGTTCTGGCCAACATGAAAGAGCGCCACGGCAGTATGGGAGCGACGGGACACATGACCATGTCTATGAATACGTGAGAGAAAAGAAGACGAAGAACGTTTACATAAAGGGCGATTATGCGGTGAGAGTTGACGACGGAAATAACCTGAGCTACACAATGAAAAAAAGAAACAAGTTGAGTCCACTATGTGGCCGTGAGGGTTACTGTGATTCACCGTCAGAATAGACAGACTTTTGTGCAACGCGTGTGGAATATTTTTCCTTCGCCCAGCTTGCTTAAATTTAGGTTTGAGATGTCCTTGGTATGCGATCTACCTTACAAAAAATCGCGGAGTGACGCAAGCATAGGGTGCATGTGCAATGCACGAATCAGTGTTTTAGGCCGAATACCGTCAGAATAGACAGTCCGCACGGGTGGCGATAATCCATATTAGGCAGGCCGTCCACCATAGCCGGTCTCAAAAAGGAAAGTCAGGGCGTTATCGCTGAGCCGAAGTCGCCGTTACAGCGGCTATAAGATTATGGCAAGGCTCGAGAGGACACTCTGTCATTGTTCCGACATATTGAGAGTTGTCGCCTTTTGCAGCGCCCAAAATTGTTTCAACGAAGGGTAAAGATGTCCTTAAAACATATAATAGCTCTATCATCCACACTGTGTCGCATGTTCACAGC